AATGTCTTTCCCGTGGCCGTTAGTACTGAGTCACACTCAGTGGGAACAGAGGTGCTTCACCCCCTTTTTTAAAAATTTAAATTAGAAACAAGCTTGTTTTACATATCAATCCCAGTTCCCTCTTCCTCCCCTCCTCCCATGCCCCCCAGCAGCTCCCCACCTCACCCCCCTTCTGCTCCCCAGGGAGAGTGAGGCCTTCCATGGGGAATCTTCAAAGTCTGTCACATCATTTGGAGCAGGGCCTAGACCCTCCCCCATGTATCTAGGCTGAAAGAGTATCCCTCTATGGGGAGTGGGCTCCCAAAGTTCATTCATATACTAGGGATAAATACTGGCATCCATGTTCAGGGGGTCTGGAACCGTCCTATGCTGGTTTCCCAGCTATCAGTCTGGGGTCCATGAACAACCCTTTGTTCAGGTCAGGTGTTTCTGTGGGCTTCCCCAGCCTGGTCTTAACCCCTTTGATCATCACTCCTCTCTCTCTACAACTGGATTCCAGGAGTTTGGCTCAGTGCTTTGATGGGGGAAGTCCTGTACATTTGTCAATAAAGTACTGTTGAGCCAATAGGAATCTAGATAGGTGGGACTAGGAGTCCAGGAGGATTCTGGGAAGGAGAAACACGAGAGAGTTCGAGATGTAACCGCCATGGGGTAGGAAGCCCGGAACTATTCTCCGGTAAGAGAAATACTTACATTAACAATTATGGGGTAATTACTTAAGTCTGAGCTAGCCAGTAAGAAACAAGCAAGGCCAACAGCTTCATAATGAATATAGCCTCATGTGTGTTTATTTGGGACTGATGTGGCTCTAGAACCAGTGCTTAGCTTTGGGTCTCTGCTTCTGCTTCCATCAGCTACAGGATGAAGGCTTTGGGATGGCACTTAAGGTAGTCATCAATCTCATTATAGAGGAAGGGCATTTAAGGTAGCCTCTCCACTATTGCTAACATTCTTAGTTGGGGTCATCCTTGTAGTTCTCTGGACATATCCTTGACGCCAGATTTCTCTTTAAACCTATAACGGTTCCCTCTATTATGGTATCTCTTTTCTTGCTCTCCTCTATTCTTCCCCCGACTCAGTCTTCCTGCTCCCTCATGTCCTCCTCTCCCCTCCTCTTCTCCCCTTCTCTTTCTCCTAACTCCCTCTCCCCTCCCACCATGCTCCCAATTTGCTCAGGAGATCTTGCCCCTTTCCCCTTCTCCGAGGAACCATGTATGTCTCTCTTAGGGGCCTCCTTGCTTTCCTTCCCTGGAGGGGTGGACTGTAGACTGCCTACCCTGTGCTCTCAAAGGTGCTTTCTGTTCCATTGTGCCGCATCCCAGGCTTTTAAAGGCCATGCTCAGTCAGGACGGGAGAAGTGACCTGTGCCTTTCACGTGAGGACAGAAGTAGCTTCAGAAGTAGCAGCACAAACAAGTGGCTTTCAAGTCCGTCTTTGCTTCACGGCCATCCACCCCTTCAGGGAAGAACACTGCCTGTTGTTTAGTCTATTTAAAAAGACTTAAGTCTGGCGGGGGTGGGGGCATGACTTGTAGAACATGCTGTTAACTGATTAAAGGGGACTTCTTAGCGCTGTATCTGTAAGAAATGATAAAGGCTCGCAGTATAACTCAATGGTAGATGGCTTGCTTAGCACGTGTAGAGTCCTGTACTCCCGAGTACTGAACAAATAAAATCTGTGGAGTCTTGGTGTAAGTCAACACTTATGAGGTAGAGGCAGGAAGATCAGGAGTTCAAGGTCATCCTTGTTAATGCAGTGAGTTCAAGGCCAACCTGGAATGCATAAGACTCTGTCTCAAAAGAACATTCAATAGGATTGTGTATGGCCTTCCCTTCAAGGGAAGACCATGTCTGTAACAAGTTGGGCATGATTCGTGCTCCGGGAATGTAGGGATTCCAAGATTGTCTCTCCACCTTCTGTCCCCCCTCTACCCTCTGTTTTGTTTTGTTTTTGTTTTCTGAGATAGGGTTTCTCCATGTAGTCCTGGCTGTCCTGGAACTGGCTCCATAGACCCGGCTGGCCTCAAACTCTCAGAGATCTGCCTGCCTCTGTCTCCCAAATGCTGGGATTAAAGGTGTGCGCCACCACACCTGCCCCCCCAAAAGTGGTTTCTCCTGATGGAGATACTTTCCTTGCTCTAGAGATAATGAAACTGTAACTTGTCACTCACCTGTGATGCTTTACGGGGCTCTAGATGGTTCTTAATATTATGTGGTGAATGGGAGCCGGCTGCACTGACTTCTGGGGCATGGAGGCGAGATGACGGGGTGCAGGGTGTTAAAGGGACAGGGGAACCGCTCTCGGGTTCAGTGACACCTCAGGCTGTGGGCTTAGCTGTGTAGCTCCCACAGCAGCCAACAGAGCATTTACACGCCCCGTCTCTCTCTGAGCTCTCTTTGTGCTTTAGGAGCCAGGAATCTAGACGGGGTGGAGTCGCTCCGGGAAGTCGGATGGAGGCGCCTGCTGCATGAGGAGCTCTTCTGCTCACGGGTCTGGCACCAGGTTTCCGGGGAGTTGGCCCAGGGTGGAGACTGCACGGGAAACATGGGAGAAACTGGCTCTCCGCGGGGGAAACGGGGTGCTGCCCGGTGTGAGGAAGCGGAGTTCAGTGAACATTGCGGCCAGAAGATACGGCTTCTGCCCCTCTGTGGGATGAATGGCAGTGAAGAGCCTTACACAGAGGAAGACTCTAACTGGGACGCTCGTCTTGAGGTGAGCGGGCAAGCCCATGAAGGAGGGAGGAGGTACAAATGTGAAAAGTGTGGCAGCTCCTTCTGTCGGCTGTCGGGTCTCCGAGCTCATGAGGCAAGGCACACTGGAGAGAAGCCGTATCGGTGTGAGGAGTGTGGCAAGGGCTTCACTCGGGCCTCAACGCTCCTGGACCATCAGCGAGGCCACACTGGAAACAAGCCCTACCAGTGTGATGCCTGTTGGAAGAGTTTCTGTCACAGCTCAGAATTTAACAACCACGTAAGAGTCCACACGGGAGAAAAACCCTACGTGTGTGAGGAGTGTGGGAAAGGCTTCAGCCAGGCCTCGCGTCTCCTGGCCCATCAGAGAGGCCACACTGGCGAGAAACCCTACAAATGTAGCACGTGTGGGAAGGGCTTCAGCCGGAGTTCAGATCTCAACGTTCATTGTCGAATCCACACGGGAGAGAAACCCTATAAATGTGAGAAGTGTGGGAAAGCCTTCACTCGAGTCTCAATTCTCCAAGTGCATCAGAGAGTCCACAGTGAAGAGAAACCGTATCAGTGTCACGAGTGTGGGAAGGGATTCACTGTAGAGTCACACCTTCGGGCCCACCAGAGGTCCCACACTGGAGAAAGACCCTATCAGTGTGAGGAGTGCGGGAGAGGCTTCTGCCGCGCTTCCAATTTCCTAGCTCATCGCGGAGTCCACACAGGAGAAAAACCGTACCGATGCGATGTGTGTGGCAAGCGCTTCCGGCAGAGGTCCTACCTCCATGAGCACTGCAGGATCCACACTGGGGAGAAGCCGTACCGGTGTGAGGCGTGTGGGAAAGTCTTCAGCTGGAGCTCATACCTCAAAGCCCACCAGAGGGTTCACACCGGAGAGAAACCGTACCAGTGTGAGGCGTGTGGCAGAGGTTTCAGCTGGAGTTCAAGCCTCCTGATTCACCAGAGAGTCCACACCGATGATGAGGGCCCCAGGGATTTCCCCACCCCAGAGGACTCACCCAGGAAACATGCTCTATAAGGTTTTATGATCTGATATTTCAGATGGAAGCCAAAATGTTCCAGTTCTTAGTTAGAGCCGTTACGGGAGACGAAGGAGTTGTATCATAAAAGGATCCGCATTGTAACAGTGATTGGGAGACCCCATAGCAAAGAAGTCTGTACATTGGAACCCTGCAGACCTCATTCAGAACCTTCACCTTTTTTTCTTTTCTTTTCTTTTCTTTTCTTTTTTTTTGGTTTTTCGAGACAGGGTTTCTCTGTATTGTTTTGGAGGCTGTCCTGGAACTCACTCTATAGACCAGGCTGGCCTCGAACCCACAGAGATCCACCTGCCTCTGCCTCCCGAGTGCTGGGATTAAAGGCGTGCGCCACCAACACCGGGCCAGAACCTTGACCTTTAACTGCAGGAAAGTTGAGTGTAATTGGAGGGACCTAAATGTCCTAGGATGAAGGGACCAGATCTTTTTGACAAGAGCAAAGTTTCTTAAACTGCTGGTCGCAACCCCACGTGGGGCTGCATAACGGAATGTGGCCATCACACAATATTTACAAACGCTCCAAGCTTTCTACGTATCCAGTGACCAAAACCTCAAAATCCAACAGGTAATAAATCCGAGGGACTCCCGGCAGCTCTTACCCATGTGACTGTGACCGTACTATAGCCTTTTCTCTGAACACACAGCTTGAGCAAAGTGCCCCGGGCTCTGCCTGAAGTCCCCTGCTCAGGGCCCACGTCGGCTGTGATGAATGGCGGTGCACACATTCCCGCTCTTCAGAAGCATAATAGTTTACAGTGTCTCCCTCGACATTATCTGTGATGATTCGCAGTGCACATATTCCCGCTCTTACAGAAGCATAATAGTTTACAGTGTCTCCCTCGACTCATCCCTCATACTTGAGTATCAGACTAGTTTAGCTGCAGATTGTGTCCCAGCCAGAGTGACTTTAAACATCCGCGTAGCTCCTCTTACGGAAAGTGTTCCCTAGCACTACTATGCAAATTTGTTTCATCGTTAATAAAGTGTCACTTATTGGAGCTGCTTTGCAATACATTTCTTCCTGATTAACAGTAAACAGTAGAGGTATATCTCTATATTGTGTACTTATGTACCCAAGCGATGCCGGAGGCGCCATTTCAGTGACTCAAGTCAGCTCTAAGAAGAACAGCCATTCATAATTTTCTTATTCAGTCTATCTCTGAATAAAGTTTCTGAAACACTGGCCGGGCGGTGGTGGCGCACGCCTTTAATCCCAGCACTCGGCAGGCAGAGGCAGGCGGATCTCTGTGAGTTCGAGGCCAGGCTGGACCGATAGCCTCCGAAACAATACAGAGAAACCCTGTCTCGTAAAAACCAAAAAAAAAAAAAAGTTTCTGAAACACTGTTCCTAGGAGGCTTGAAGGAGAGTTAAGTTATACACACAGGCCAATTTTCCCAACACGATGGAGCCTGTGTAGCAATGGCTATCCAATTGCAGGTCCTCATGCACGGGTGGCTTCAGAATTCATTGGGTTTTGACCAGCTTTTTGGCATGCTCGTCCTGCACTGAAGTAGTTTGTATGCAGTCACACATGCTCAAACCTCAGTTTTTATTGCTTCCTGAATTTTGACAAACGTATACACGCCTATGGTCATCAGCATCAACTGTATATGATGTTTCTAACAGGCAGAAATGTGCCTTGTGGCCATTTCCAGGCAGTGCCACCTTCAAGGCCAACAAGCTTTATGGTTTCTGAGCTACAGATGTGTTTCATCCATTCTCACATAGGGTCAGGGCGTCTTTGAACGTGGAGTCTGACCTCTCAATTTATTCAGAAAGTATTTGACAAAGTTCAGCATTTATTCAGGATTTAAAAAAAAGCTCAGTGAGGTAGGAGGCAAATATGGGATAGCAATTTTAATAACAGTAAGGCTGACTTGGTTATAACACTGTAGATTTGGCAGACGCTTACCTTGGGGTAACTCCCACCAAGTCATTTAAGTTTCAACACCTGAATTAAATTCCCCCACTTCTGCCCTGGACAGCCACTGATTCTGTTCTGTCTGTATCGTTCACGTCTCCCAGAATGTCACAAACGGAGCCCTATCCTGTGCAACCTGTTGCAACTAGCCCCTTTCAGTTGTATAATTCTGCCCAGCCTGACCACCAGAGTTGCATCCCCTGGACCCTCATGGTGCAGGGAGAGAATTTTCTCCTCCTAGAAGTTGTCCTGTGGCTTCCTCATTTGGGCTGTAACATGCACGTGCCCACACAAGTCTTGCATACTTTTAGTTTTCAAAAAGATTGTATTTGTATGGACGTGTTGCCCGCATTATGTCCGCATCGCGTACAAGCCCTGCTCGTGGCGGCCGGAAGGCGTCGGGTCTTCTGGAACTGGAACTTTGTATACCCAAGGCACAGATAGTACCACGCAAAGGCATTTCACCCAGGACTTTCTTAGGGAGTGTGAGAAGTGAAAACCAGGAGGGAAATTCGATGCGGGAGGCGGTCCTCCGCTGGCATTCTGGGACGGCGTCTGGGCTCTGCATCCTCACTTCCGTTACCACCGAGCCCGCGCCGCAGTTTCTCCACGCGGAATTGTGGGAAGTCGTCAGCTTCGGGTTGGCCTGTTAGCCGTCGGTCCCCGGGTTTGAGCTGTTTTCAGCCGGGGACCTCTAGGGTGTTGCCCTAGGTGCTTTTGAGACCGTCAGTTCTTGCCTGTGGGGGGACGAGGTTTGAAAGGTAAGGGGCAGCGGGATCCCACGGGAGGGGGCGTCCCCGGGGCTGCGGGCCCTCGGTGCTAGGCGCTTCTGCAGCCCCCCTCTCCCCGCCCGCATCTCCCCCTCCCCGCCCGCAGCCCCCCTCTCCCCGCCCGCATCTCCCCCTCCCCGCCCGCAGCCCCCCTCTCCCCGCCCCATCCCCTTCCCCCTCTCCCCGCCTGCAGCCCCCTCTCCCCGCCCCATCCCCCTTCCCCCTCTCCCCGCCTGCAGCCCCCCTCTCCCCGCCCCATCCCCTTCCCCTCTCCCCGCCTGCAGCCCCCTCCCCGCCCCATCCCCTTCCCTCCCTCTCCCCGCCTGCAGCCCCTCTCTCCCCCTCCCCGCCCGCAGCCCCCTCCCCGCCCGCAGCCCCCTCCCCGTTCCCATCCCCTTCTCCCCTCCTGCATTCCCCTTCCTGTCTGCAGCCCCCTTCCAGCCCGCATCCCCCTCTCCCCGCCCGTGACCCCCCTCCCTGTCTGCAGCCACCCCTCCCCGCCCTCCCCCTCCTCTCACCATCTGGAGCCCCCTTCCCGCCTGCAGCCCTTCTCCCCAGCTCCTCCCCCACCTGTAGCTCTCCTGCCTGCAGCCCCTCTGCCCCATGGCCCCCTCTTCTCACGCGTCCCCCCGCCCCGCCCGCGGCCCCTCTGTCCTGTCCCACAGCCATCTCTGTTTCTGCCCCTCTAGCTGATTCCCTTGCAAATACTGGCTGTTCTGCAAAAGAGAAGTTAGACTTCCTAGAAGAATATTTAGACCAAATCTATCTATCTATCTATCATCTATCTATCTATCTATCTATCTATCTATCTATCTATCTATATCTATATCTATATCTATATATATATATGGATCGTAAAATGCTTGAAGCTGTCTGGCACGGGGCTGTCATGGAGACCACTGTAATATTCCAGTTCTCCACCTCTGTGAGTCAGCAAGCTCTGGGCTGTCCACACCTCTGACCCTTATAGGAAGAAGCTGGCTGCTTGCCGTGAACCCTGAGATAGAGATGGGAATTTTGTAATTTCACTATTTTTCTGGTTTCCCCGCAGCCCCGACTTCCCTAGAAGCACCGCGCGGAGCCCTACGTGAGTAGCATTGACACTGGAGGATGTGTGGGTTTCCCACTTGGGAATGACTGATTAGACGTTAGTGTATGCAGAGGAAGCCCCCGAGTGGGCAGGCTGGCCTCGGAAGCTAGGCTGTGCGGACCCACACTGGTTGCTGAGTCTTTTTGGTCCAAGCTCCCCCAGGAAACCGGCCAGTATCTTGTGAAAATAGAACTGCCTGGCGGGGATCTTGAGAGCAGGGTTTGTGTATTTTTGTGTGGAGGCTGGAGGTCAACCTCGGGTCCCCCAGGAGCTGTCCCCCCCTTTTGTTTTCTGTTAACATTTATTTGGGGGTGGGGCTCACGAGTTGCAGTTTGCATGTGGGGATTAGAGGACCGATTTGGGGAGATGCTGCTCACTTGTGGGTCTTGGGGCGCAAACTCAGTCTGGTTTGGTGGCGAGCTCGTTTACCCACCGAGTCATCCTGTGGGCCCTGAGCTTGCCTAATTAGGTGACCCTCGCGGGCTGACTGGCCAACAAGCAGGAGAGATAATGGCATTACAAACCTGTGCCACTGGCATGCAGCCACCTGTCAGCCCCCAGTCCCATTTAAAATAGAGTGTGTTCTTGAGGTGGAACTCGGGTCCCCATGCTTGCCCAGCAAGCTCTTACCAGTTAAGCCATCTCCCCAGTCCCTTGTGTCAGGTCTTTCAAAAAGTGTTTTTCATCTATTCCGGCTTTCCCAAATAATGTCTACCTTGTAGACATGGAAGTGTCTGAAAATTCAGTATGTAAAGAGAAAATTGTTACTGCAGCTACTGTGGATTAGCGGTATCTCCATGGTCACCATCATCGCCATTATAACCAATTGTGACTATGACATTTTCTGATTATTAAAATTTTTCTTGTAATTTAAAGCCTAATTTTGTACAAGGAAATCTAATATCGTGGCTGGGCACACTGTTCGTGATGTGCTCCCGAATGAGGGCATGTCACACGCAGTGTCATTGCCTTCCTCTGACCACAACCACGAGGAGCATAGACCCCGACTGTCTGACAGGGTCAACCGTGAGGTCAGTGGCTCGCTGGGTCAATGTCCTCCGACGTCTCTCTCTTTTCCTATTTCTTAGGCTCTGCACCTCCTGGAAGGAACAATAAAAGATGAGCACATACAAGGTGAGGAGAGCTTGCCATTTTTGCCATCAGAATGCCAGGTAGTCCTCAGGCTGGAGGGATTTTCTCTAGTAAGGAGACTGAAAGCACTTGAGGGCAGACAAGATGCAGCAGGGGTGCTTGCCTCCGAGCCTGGGGACCTAAGTTTGATCCCCAGGACCCACATGGTGGAAGTGGATAACTGACCTCCACAAGTCATTTGCTGTCTCTCACATGAACACTGTGTGACATGCATTCCTGTGTCACGACACACGCACACACACGCACGCACGCACATGCACGCACACACACTAAATGAACGAGTGTAATTTTAAAAATCGGATGTATAAAAGCACTTGAGGTCCTTAGGAGATGCTAAATGCCTGTTTACCCCTTTAACTCCTCCCTAGTGGACGTTGGTGTTGACCCTTTTCCTGGGGAGACACAAACTAACATCTGTACACCCCAAGTAGGGAATCCACGACAGACTCAGATCATAGTACCACCCAAGTCCAAGTTGGTGAGTCTGAGTTTATTGGTTTTCGCTCCAAGAACTGATGTGACAGAGGTCAGCCTGGAACTTTATGTACGACTTGCAGATGCCTCCCTAGGTAGAAGAGTCCCTGTGACCAGAGGAACTGTGTGCATCTGCTCAGTTTCAGGGACTTCCTGAGACTCACGAGTTGTTTATTCCTGGAATCTAAAGGAGCCTCCTCTTAGAACTTCCTGAGTCTTTCCAAGCAGCCCCCCCCCCTGGACTGTTTCAATGTTGCTAACAGCAATTGGTTGTAAGATTGAGATCACTTGTGCTTATTGTAGGAGACGGTGACATTCAAGGATGTGGCTGTGGCCTTCACTGAGGAGGAGCTGAAGCTGCTGGACTCCGCCCAGAGGAAGCTGTACCAAGAGGTGATGGTGGAGAATTTTAGGAACCTGCTCTCAGTAGGTGAGGATGGATGCTGTCTGGCACATATCTTTGTGACCTTGGAGTTGGGTAGCCTTGGGGCTCTCAGAATAGTTCTCTGACTTTGCTCATTCCTGTGGGTAGAGATGGGATGATTCCTGTTTCTTCTGACTAGGCTATTTCAGAACATTTAAATAATTAATTAACTTGTTTCTTCATTTATCTATTTGTTTATTTGTATATGAGTATGTTGCATGGTGCCTGTGAAGGTCAGTAGAGGGTGTCAGCTCCCTGGAAACTGCCGTGAGCTGCCGTGTGGGGTGCTGAGAACTGAATCTGGGTCCTCTGGAAGAGCAGCCAGTGCTCTTAACTGCTGAGTTACTTCTGTAGCTCCACATTTTATTATTCTTAGAAATCATTGCATCTTATCTGTTCTCTGTGTGTATACATGTGTGTAGCTACCCCTAGAGGCTAGAAGTAGGCATCAGTACATCGGTAGTTACGGGTGGTTGTGAACCACCGGACATGGGTGCTGGGAACTGAACTTGGGGTCCTCTGGAAGAGCAGTGATCACTCTTAACTGCTGGCCCATCTCTCCAGCCCAGAGAGAAGTGGGCATTGAATCCCTGGAGCTGCAGTTAGGTGGTTGTGGTGCTGGAAACCAAACTGGTCCTTCGGAAGAGCATCGAGTGGTCTTCACCACAGGGCCATTTCTCCAGCCCCTGCACTGGCAATTAATGAAATGACAGAAAACACCAGCCTTCCTTAGGGAAGAGCAATGCATGCTGTGGGGAAAGCTGGTCGGTTGTGCGCTGAGTGGGCACAGAACCAGCGGGGAGAGCTTGACTGCAGGTGTATGTCGCTCAAACTTTGCTTTTGCAATCTATGTTTATGGCAGCAGGAAGGTCACAATGGTATTTCTTCACTGGGCTGTTGTGTGTAAGTTTTGAAACGCTATTTTCATTGCATTGATGAGGATTCAGTTGCAACTGGAGTTCCCAGTGCATTTTTGCTGTGGCATGCCCTTTTGACGTCTGCGCTTCTGCGTGTTCGCAGAGCGTCAAGTTTTCAAGTGAGATAAGTCACACACAGAACGAGAAGTCAGACCTCTGACGAAGAGGGCAACCCAGACGAGAGAGATTTAGGCGAAGTCTTATGTGTTCACTGTCCCTGTTGCTGCCGTCATGCCGTCCAAACCTGTTCCTGGGTCACTGCAGTAGTCTTGTGGGTCTTCTCTTCAAATTAATCCCTAGCCTCATTCTGACTCCTCAGGAGTGTGGGTTCGTACAGGCTGACTCACGAATGTCTTAAAGAACTCGCAGTTCTGTGGAGATGACCAGTCTGAGTAAGATTTTTCTGTGACGTGGTTTGAGCACTTAAATAGGAAATAATGTTTAAATACGGTCTTCACCATCCCCACTCCGGCCCTGGCATCAAACTTTGGGCCTAGACAAGTGGTCCACCACTAAGTTCCATGACATCCCGGGAAGTGCTTCCTGTGAGAATTCTTATGGTTAGTTCTTTGGCTTTATCCATAGGAAGAGTAAAATCCTGTCTCCTTATTCCTTTGGTTAGAGAAGAAAGTCTAAGAAAATTGCCAGAGGAACTTTGCCTCTTAAAGATTACCCAGACATATTACAGTAACGTTTTCAAAGTTCACATCTATAGTAAGAAACTAATATTCAATTGTTAGCCCAAGAATCGTATGGGGAAAATTATATATATGTGTATATATATAATATGTATGTGTGTGTATATATATATATAATGTGTGTGTGCGCGAGTGTGTGTGTGTGTGTGAGCGTATGTGTGGTGTGCGTGTGTGTAGTTCTATTTAGTGATGCCATTACTGCCTGTGGTAGTTCTCTGGTAGTTTGTAGCCCATTTCTTCTAGATGTTTATCACAAGCTAGTTTAGTTTCTGATTCACTGCTATCCTGTATTTATCAAGTTGGAAGACTTGTTTGAGAACAGGGCCTCACTAGATATCTCTGCTTGGCTGGAACTCACTCTGTAGACCGGGCTGACCGCAACCTTGTAGGGATCTGCCTGCCGCTGCCTCCTGAGTGCTGGGGGTCAAATGTGTAAGCCACCATGCTTGACTGGCTCGGGAATACTTTTTCCTTGTTTGCACAATGATGGCAGTCTTCATTGGTCTCCGCGCTTCCTTTTTCTCGGGTGTGGCCTGCACCCCTGGATTCTATTCTCAGCGCTACCTCACTACCGTCCTACCTCAGAAGCGGCTTTGCAGTTTCCCAGCAGAACTTGGGTCCAGGTCTCTTTCATATATTTACTGTAAAACACTCTTTGCTTCTGTGACTTGGATTTGGAGTTGGAGTGAACCGAGAAGCCCCCTGTACATACTTTGCTGGAACACGTGTCAGGCAGGGTTCTGGGTAGTGACTGGAAAACTGAGCGCCATAAAATGTCCCTTCCTGTTGACCCTGTCATATGGTGGGGAAGATACATAATTTTAAAAAGAAAAAGAAGCCGGGCGTTGGTGGCGCACGCCTTTAGGCCCAGCACTCGGGAGGCAGAGGCAGGCGGATCTCTGTGAGTTCGAGGCCAGCCTGGTCTACAGAACGAGTTGCAGGACAGCCTTCTAAATAATACAGAGAAACCCTGTCTCAAAAAACCAAAAATAAAAAATAAAAGAAAAAAGAAAAAACTTCAGAGAGCATGTCGGTAATTGATCGCGACACTAAGTGGCTTTTATTAGGTCTCTTTTAAAATGTGAATTATTCTTTTATCTGTATGGGTGCTTTGTGTGCATGTTACCACACGTACGCCTGGTGCCCATGGAGGACAGAAGAGGGTGTCCGGTCCTCTGCGACTGGAGTAGACAGTTGTGAGATGCTGTGAATGAACCCTCTAGCAAGTGGCCGGTGCGCTTAACTGCCGAGCTATCCTCTCCCGCCCTGGTTTTATTGGTACTTAACATCTGGGGGCTCAGTAGACTATCTCTTGGTTTCTGTCAGTATTTAGACCAGAGAACTTTATTCATAATAAAAGAGAAAAGCTGCAGGATCGTCTTGCGTCGCATTAAAGTCTGGCGTTGTGACCTAAGTGTGAACAGTTCTCACTCGTGGTTATCTCTGTCTTTATAGGAATTAACCATCAGAGTGAGTTGAGGGCGAGCCAAGACGGGAGGTCACGTGACGCCCTGTCCTGCTGGCAAATCTGGCAGCGGGTCATGGATGACTTATCCAGGTGTCAAGACTCCGTGGTCACGGCCCCTCAGTTCCGGGGTGACTCCCCCTGCCAGGTCGGGCGCTGGCTGTCGGCTCACGCTTCTGAAGATGCGAACCGCGTACAGAGTGGAAAAGCAAAGGTTCCCACCGACCCTGCGAGGCTCCCGCCTGCAGCACTGAGAACCCAGGGTTCTTGGCCGAAAATTTTCCCGACTGAGCCACAGAGACCTGAGAATGGCTCCCAAGCGGTCTCCGCGAGAAGGGTGCGGGGTCAGAGTAAACGGGGTGTTGACCCTGCAAGCCGGATTTCACGTCATTCCCGCAGTGCTCACGAAAGGAAGGGTGCTCACGGCCCCAGAGGTGTCGGGAGAGAGAGCGGAAAGGCGGCACCCTTTGCTCAGGCTAGCCCGACCCCCGCCGAGCAGGAAGCTGCCGGCCATGAGGAGGCTGTGCCTGCTCTCTCCAGCGCCGCCCCTCACCCTCCGTGGGACCCGGGAGACCGGTCCTGCGCGTGTGTGCAATGTGGGAGCGGCTCCCGTGACAGCGCCGAGGGTTGTGCTGCCCATCAGGGAGCTCGCACGGGAGGAAGACACGAGGGGCTCAGCAGCCACTGTCCACCCCCGCCCGCCCACCAGAAGGTCCAGGCCACGGCGAAGCCGCTGCAGTGCGAGCGCTGCGGGAAGTTCTTCCGCTGCAGGTCCGCGCTCAGCGTTCACTTCAAAGTGCACACCCGGGAGAGGCCGTACGCGTGCGAGGCGTGCGGGAGCGCCTTCAGCCAGGCCTCGCACCTCCAGGACCATCAGAGGCTCCACACCGGGGAGAAGCCCTTCAAATGCGACGCCTGCGGCAAGAGTTTCAGTCGCAACTCGCACCTCCGCTCGCACCACAGAGTCCACACGGGGGAGAAGCCGTACAAGTGCGAGGCGTGCGGGAAGAGCTTCATCTGCAGCTCGAACCTGTACATTCACCAGAGAGTGCACACGGGAGAGAGGCCCTACAAGTGCGTGGACTGCGGGAAGGAGTTCAGCCGCCCGTCGAGTCTTCAGGCCCACCAGGGCATACACACCGGGGAGAAGTCCTACGTGTGCACCCTGTGCGGCAAAGGCTACACCCTGAACTCGAACCTGCAAGTGCATCTGCGGGTCCACACTGGGGAGAAGCCGTACACGTGCGCTGCGTGTGGGAAGGGCTTCAGCCGCTCCTCGCAGCTACAGTCCCACCAGAGAGTCCACACAGGGGAGAAACCTTACAAGTGTGAGGAGTGTGGGAAGAGCTTTGGTTGGCGGTCAAACCTTCTAATTCATCACAGGATCCACAGCAGTGGCAGGGCTTCCAAGAGCACGCGAGACGGCAAAGGCATCAAGGAATCCAGTCAGGAGAAACATTCTATAAAATAATGTTTTAAAAGACTCGAGTCCCATGCATTCTTTTCTGCTTTGGATTGCATTTTAAGGTAGTGGAGCGTGGGAACTCCGGAGACGCCTCAGTGGCGAGGACCCCTCGTTGCTCTTGCAAAGGATCCAATTCCCAGAGCCCATATGGTGGTTCACAACCATTTTTTTTCTTTTAGATTTATTTGTTTATTATGTATAGGGTTCTGTCTGCATGTATCCGTGCAGGCCAGAAGAGGGTGCCAGATCTCATTACAGATGGTTTCCAGCCACCATGTGGTTGCTGGGAATTACACTCGGGACCTCTGGAAGAGCAGTCAGTGCTCTTAACCACTGAGCCGTCTCTCCAGCCTCCACAACCATTTTTAACCTTAGCTCTAGAAGATCCAATATATATAGCACACATACACGCATGTAGGCAAAAAGTGAAACTTAATATAAAAACGGTTTAGTGTGTTTGGACACACACCTGCCCGGGAGGGGGGGGGGCGAGCCGTGCGTGTGGAGAGCAGAGGGCGCCTTCCGGGATCCAGTTCCCTCCTTGTTCCTTGTGGGGAGCCAGGGATCACACTGGGGCTGCTGTCAGGCTTGGTGGCAAGCACTTTCCTCTCCCACTGAATCACCCGTGTGAATTCTTGTAATCATTTTTCAAAAGAAAGCATAGTTATCTTATTCAGGCCAGCGCTTCTCTGTCTCCCTGCCCTCTGTTAATTTTCCCGAGGGGGCTTTGGTTGCAGCCCTGACCGTTTTCAAGTGGTTTCCAGCAAATGGGGGAATATACTTGGGAAACTATTGAGAAGTTAAGTTTCTGTTTGGAACAGGAACCCTCGCAGCCTTTAAAACTATAAACTATACATAAAAGCCCGCTTTGTGGCTAGCGCGGTGTTAGAATTCTGAGTTATCATGCCCAGGTCCCGGGTCCAATCCCCAGTGCAGACAAAACCGAGGCGCTCAGCTCTGTCCTCTGCAGTATCAGCCCGATGTTACGGTTAGTGTCTGTCTTTCCCCAGCCTTTCCTGGCTGCTTCCTGCCTTCTGGGGCTCCGCCTCCCGTTTTGTTGGCTTTATGCTTTAGAGATTCAATTATCCTTTAGTTAGCGTGGTAGTCACCAGCCGCTCCGCACTGCGCCGTGGGTTCTTCTTAGGCAGAGTGTGGACTGGAGGACCCCAAGTTGCTGGAACTTTGGGAAGGGGCAGACCTTCGCTTCTGGCTCTGGATTTCCTTCTCTGCTTGTGGAACCAGACACCAGACATAAAAGTATTCACAGATGCCCAAGGCAGACCCGTTCCCACCATGCCTTTCGAACCGTGGTGAACCGATATCCCTTTAAAGCTGGGCCCAAAGACTTTCCTAAAGTTATTTCTGTCGGGTATTTCGTCCCACTGACCCCCAAAACAATGCAAACTACATATGTTTCAGAGAACGGTCAACGCTCATCCCAAGGGTCCTTTGTGAGATGGACAAAGTGGCAGGAAGGTGAAGGGGCTTCTGGAAGGTGTAGTCCGGAAGTTCCTTCCTGCAGTGGGGGGGTGGGGTCTGGGAAGTGTACTCCAAAAGTCTCCGGGAAGGACGGACGCTCGTTCTCCCGAGGGTTTCTGGGAAATGTAGTTCAGAGCTAGGAGAGCGAGCGCGCCGCTCTCCATCAGGGAGTCCATTCATCCATCCGCCTCGCGTCCTCCTCAACTCCTTTCAAGTCTTTTTATGTGGCCAGACGGCCGCTCCCGGAGACCGGAAGTGAGGGGACGGGAAGTGCGAGGCCGGGATCTCGCTCCCCCCCCGCCCCCTGCTGCTCGCAGCCCCTCCAGTTGTCTCAATTGTTGTCGGAGGCGGTTGGAGGTTGGCGGCAGCTGGCTCGCGCCGCCGTTAGACTCTAAAGGCGGCGACGGATTAAGCCGCTGCGGCCGTCTGCGGTGGTCGCAGCCCGGTCCTCGGGCGCTCTTCTCCCTGGAAGCCCCGGGACGAGAGCCAGCCCTGGCTGCGGGACAATGCCGGGCCCCTCCCCGCATCCCCTGCCTAAGGCGTCTCCGAGGAGCTGCAGGCAGGAGGCACTTGTCACTCCCGTCACCGCCCCAGGTACTTCGGTTCATCGGGGTCCCTTGTCCCTGGAAATTGGCTACCAGGAGAAACATGATCGCACTTTAGCTGTTTGTTTTGTTGTTATTATTGTAGCTCGCGTGTGTACTTGGGGGAGGTGGGGAGAGAGCGAGCGAGCGAGCGAGCACGGGTGCCTGCGCCGGAGGAGGCTAGGAGGGGCCATCAGATCCCCGGAGCACGGGTTCCAGGCGGTTGTGGTGCTGGCCTTGGTGCTGGAAGCGGAACTCGGTTCTTCTGGAAGATCTGCAAGTGCTCTTAACGCCCGCCCGAAGCAGCTCTCCCGCCTCTCCCATTGTTTTCAGTTTTCCAGGCAGGGTCTTTTGTAAACCCGGGGTGGCCTCAAGCTCCGTGTGCAGCCGAGGGTGACCTCTTACTCCTGATTCTTCTGCCTCCACCTCTTAAGTGTTGGGATCACAGGCAATGTGCCTTGTGTAATTAGAAAGAATACAGTTAGATACACACACACACCTGTGGTCAGTCTACTTGTTAGTTTGTATTTATGCTGGGATTGCTTGAATTCAAGTACAAAGCTTCTTAAACTGAATGATCAGGAAAGTACCCCCCCTTCTATAATACACACACTCTCTGTATACACATGTGTATAGGCTTGTTTGTTTGTTTGTTTGTTTTTAACTTGCCTATTGTTCACCTTTCATGCTTTATATCCCTTTTAGTTGTCCCTTGGTTTGGAATTTATGTTGTCTGTGTCATTCTTATGAAATTTGATACCTAGGCCTGGGGAGGTGGGCTCCGGGGTCAAAGTGATCCAAGACTGGAGTTTGGATCCCCAGGAACCCAAGTTAAATGTCAGGCGAGCTTAGCCTTAGGCAGCTGAGATGGGGTCCCTAGAGCAAACCGCTAAGCAAGACTGCCCTTATCAGTGAGCTCTGGGTTTGATTGAGAGACCCTCCCCTCAGTGAATGAAGGAGATGGAAAGGAAGGCCGATTCCTCACTTAAGCTCCAGGCCTCCACATGCGCGGGTGCCCATAGGGTTCGGTGTTCTGTGTTGTGTTCCGAGAAGAGTCACTCCGGAATGCAACTTGGGCTCCTTAGCAACAGCGATGTCCAGCCTCTGATGGACCGAACTCCGTACTACTGTTTAAAAGCGTGTTCAATGATTGTCACAGCAAGGTTGGTTTTTGGGTAGTACAGGTTCCTCATGCCAAAGCCCCCTTGATCTATTCCGTAGTCCTCTGAAGGCAATCATCACACACCCCTGTAGGGTTAGTCCCTACTTTGGGCCGTTTGCAACACCCAATAATGCAGGTTGCTCCAAGTGTGTCTTATAAATCATAGAGAACAATCACCGTGCTCTACAGTAATTTCCTCAAGGTCACCCTCGCCTGCCGTGGAATCCGCCAGGGTCTCCCAGGCAAGGTCCCCCTCAAGCTTTATCCTAACACCAGTGAGACACAACTATTACATTCTAATGTTTACCCTAGTTAGAGCGACTCTACAAGATTCCCACTATCCACACGCATGCAGAAATATTCGCACACGTGCATAGCACATGCATATGAAAAATGGGGGGTGCTGTTTATAGCAAAAATATAAAACTGAACCAGCATGTATTCTCATTCTGAAAAACACCGGGAACAAAAAAAAATTTTCAAATTTGACAGTGACTTTTTAAGCTGCTTGGGAGGCAAATCAGTCTCCCGTTCATTTTAAATTGTGTCTTAGCGGCCTGACTTTTACCAGAACCACAGTTGATACTTTGTCTTACATTTCCTGAACTTTTTTTTTAAGTGCCCCAACATCATGGCGAAAGCATGTGATTTACAGTTACAATTTGTGCATAAGTGCTTTGCCTGAATCTAAATGTATATGAAATATGTCTGCGTGGTACTCACAGAGGCCAACAGAGGGTGTTGGATCCCTTGGGCTGGGATTGCAGATGGTTGTAAACTACTGTGTAGGTGCTGGGAATTGAACCCAGATCCTTTGCAACCACTGAGTCAAGTCTCTTTCCCCCATTTTTTTCCTATCCCCAATTGTATAACTTTCCATCTATTCAGTTAGTTCTTGGCGGCACCCTGTGAGGCAGGCAGAAATTATGCTTGTGGTTTCTAACATTCCCTGTGTTGGGATAGTAGGTAAGGTGGCACAAGTTCTGATTGCTCTTAATAACAAAAACCCGGAGTCAGACATTAGGGGGTGAAAGCTGAAAGATCAGAGAAGCAGAGCAGCAGACACCAGAGTCTTTACCTCTACGGAAAAGAGAGCAGCTCCTGTCTCCCGCCCAGCCACATCACTTCCTGTTTCCTCCTCCTTAGTTCTGGGATAAAGGCCTGGGATCCCAAGTGTGGGGATTAAAGGTGCGAGCCTCACTGCTGGGCCTCTATGGCTAACTAGCTCCACACTCTGATCTCCAGGCACACTTTATTTGTTTAGAGTACAAACAAAGGATTACCACAAAGTCACCTTGAACCCGAAACCGGGCATTCGGATCCCACTTTTCCCCCTTTCCTCCCTATCATCCTTTGCCTGTGTAGTGTTTTAGTGGCTCTCGTGTGCGCCATTTCCAGAATCTGGAATTCTCCTGGAGGAATGCTGAAACTGGCTGTACAGGTTGTTTGCCATGCGGGTGAGCTAAGGGGTCTGCTGGTCGCTGACATCCGGTGTGAGCTTCTGATTTCTGAGCCGCTTGTGGTGGCATGTGTCCGGAAGTACGGGGTCAGTGCTTGACCTGGCTAATGGCAGTCCTGACGTTTGCCTCATGGCTTCTTCATCTTTTCTTAGTCATGCCTTCTCAGGACAGTGACCTTCCTCCAAAGAAACAAGAGAAGATGGCTGAATTTCAGGTCAGGCATTTCTCACTCATTTCATGCGCCGTTTTGTCTTTTTAGGGAGGGTGGAGTGTTGGTAGTAAATAACAGATCTTTGAGTGTGAGTTAGGTGTTCTGTGTGTGTGTGTGTGTGTGTTAGCATTTGTTACTGATTTACAAAACCGCTGACAAAAATGACCTGTTACTATGATGTAGCCGTTGGTGGGGCAGAGGTTCAAGATTATCTTCTGTGATGTTGAGTTTGAGTACAACCTGGGCTGTAGGAGACCCTTTCTTGCCTCATCCTCAAGAAAGTAAACAGAGAGAGGGAGACAGAGAGAGAGGGAGGGAGGGAGGAAGGGAGGGAGGAGGGGGAGAAACGGGGAGGGGGTATAGTTAGAGTTTAGGGTGTTGTTAGGGAGCTTGTGTGCTTGTGTGAATACAGAATAACTATTGTCTCGGTCTGCTTGGACCCCCCCCCCCCCGAGTCCGTAACACCCGTGTGACCCTGTTTTCGCTGCCTTTCCTCTTCCATGGGTCCTGGACTGAGGTTACTTGTGTTTGGTGTCGCAGGAAGCAGTGACATTCAAGGACGTGGCATTGGTGTTTACAAGAGAGGAGCTGAGGCTGCTGGACCTCACGCAGAGGAAGCTGTACCAGGACGTGATGCTGGAGACCTTCAAGAACCTGGTTACCGTGGGTGAGGACGGGTGTCCTGTGACTCCGAACCTCAGCCTCCCAGAGACAAGACGCTCTGTCCTCAGATGCTCAAGGCTCTGGACTGTTTGAAAGGGTTCCCGGGGACAAGAGGGGCTTTTCTGCCGTTTCTGCTCAGCCAAAATCTTTTTAAACCACTGATCGTCAGCTAGGGGTGACTTTTCTATTAGAGAACATTTGCGGTGCATGTAGGTGGAGTTTCCCTGCCCCGGGAGCCTCTTCCAAGTGACCACCCAGAGGCTTACTATTATTTATAAATGCATGGCCCATAGCTCAGCCTTGTTCCTACTCTTACATTTAAATTAACCCATATTTCTTATGTATGCCTCGCCACCTCATATTCTTACGTCCTGCTGCTTCCTCCACAGCTGGCTGGCTTCTCCCTGACTCCGCCCTTCCTCATCCCAGCATCCTCTGATTGTCCTGCCTAACTGTATCCTGCCTTGCTGTAGGCCAAGCCGTCTCTTTATTAACCAATGAGAGCGATACCTACTCACAGTGTACAGAAGGGTTGTTCCACGGCAGGTGGAATGGTCACAATTCAGGGACGGGTGCCACTGATGTTTAGTAGCTAGTAGCCAGGGACAAGGCAGCTCCTACAGCAGGATGATGTACCATCCAGTGTCTGTCCATATGCTGCCAGGGAGAACCCCTGATTTGCTTGAGCCACAAATGGGAGGCTCAACTTCAGTACTTTGGATTTTGCTGAGACTAGAATCCAGGGCTTTCTGTATGCTAGGCGGGGGTCTGCTGCTGAGCAGTGTTCCCAGCTCTCTGGTGGATTCTAGGCAAGTGAAGTACCACTGATTGACATCCCCAGCCCCTCACTGGGGGATTCTAGGCAGGGGCTCCACCACTGAGTCACACCCAGCCCTGTACTTTGTCTTTCTTTTTTTTCTTTTTTTGGTTTTTACGAGACAGGGTTTCTCTATATTGTTTTGTAGGCTATCGGTCCAGCCCAGCCTCGAACTCACAGAGATCCGCCTGCCTCTGCCTCCCAAGTGCTGGGATTAAAGACGTGCACCACCACCGCCCAGCTACTTTGTCTTTCTAATTATGCCTGTGACCCATTAACAGGTAAACAAACAAGCTTGGTGCAGTATAGTAGTGTTTTCTGTTTTCTTTAGAGACAGGATTTCTCTGTGTAATCCTGGCTGTCCTGGAACTCACTGCAGACCAGGCTGGCCTCTAACTCAGAGATCCACCTGCCTCAGCCCCCTGAGTGCTGGATTAAAGGCGTGCGCCACCACAGCTGAAGTAATATTTCCTTTGCAATAGAGTAGATGAAGACAGGATGTCAGAATCTGTTATGGAGGACCGGCTGCAGCAGAGCCTGATGGTTTCCATGTGAGAGACGGTTAAAATACGACGAAGCAGACTCTGTCATGCTTACACAGCCATGGCCTTGATTTTTCACTCACTTTTGAAGTTCCTTTCAGGTCTTTGTGTATGGTGCCTGTGTGTGCTGGGTGACCGTGGCGCTTCCTTCTTTATCTCTCTCTGCCCTATTTCCCTGAGGCACGGTCCCTTCCAAACCTGTGCCTGGCAGCCGCAAACTCCAGTGGCCGTCCTAGCTTCCCCCAAAGCGCCAGAGATATTACGTGCCGTCGGGAGACTGTGCCTGACCTGGTCCCATGGGTGCTGGGATCCGATCTCAGGCCTCGTGGTTCCGCAGCAAGCGCTGTTAGCCACAGAGCTGTCTGCCCCGCCCATGATTTCTCAGTACAGTATATGATGATAAGCATTTCTAAAATCCACTTCGCAGGCGCTGAGGATTGTGTAGTTTAGACAAAAGTGTGCTTTAACTTTGTGTTCAACTTAAATCTGTGTCTTGTGTCTCCCTAGGGTGCTTTTCCCGCAAAGCAGACTTGGTATCCCTGCTGGAAGCCGAAGAAAGGCTTTGGCTGAAGGAAACAAAAGCCCAGAGAAGTAGGTATCCTGGCGAGAACGCATGCTATCCATGTCGTTACCCTTGCCCGCTGGCCCAACGGAGCCTGAAGCTTTTCTAGCTGAAATTCAATAGAACCCATTGCACAACTGCTAAGGAAAAGGGGTGAATGCGCTTTAATTGATGTTGTTGGGTTGGAGCATGGATAGTCCTTGTGTCCTTAGCGCTCGTGGCTTTGTTTTTTCATTTTTAAATTTTAAAAGATGTCTGTGTTTATATGCCACGTGTGTCTGGTGCCCGTGGGGCTGGCGTCGCTGCAGCCGGAGTTACGACGGGGAGTTGTAAGTTCCTTACTGTGGGTGCTGGAGTCCAAACTCAGGTCCTCCGGGACCAGTGTGAGCCATTTCTGCAGGCCCGGGAGCGCTCGTGTTACACGTGGGGCATGTGTCTGTAATTTGTCTGTAAGTGGGTCACACCGAACTCTTGGGGGCCCGGAGCCCACCCTTGCTTCCATGCTTCCGCCTCCATGGAAACGTGAAGGACGAGGCAACCTTCGCCCTGGCTCGATCGGGTCGCACCCATGCCCTCAGTGTGGGGTTCTCCCCAGGCCGCCCTCATCTCCGTGGCTGCTCTCTTACAGGCCACAGGAACCCAGGCGCCAAGGCACCTGTCGGGAGACCCCCACTGAAGCGCCTGGCCCGGGAAGAGCTGTCTTGCTGGCACATCTGGAGGCAGGCTGCACAGACCAGGCGTCTTCAGAGGAAGCAGTGTCAGCCGCTGCCGGGCGACTCCACCGTGGCATGTGACAGCGGCGGCCATGCGGAGACTCGCCAAGGAGCCGGGGGCAGCCGCCTCGTGCGTGCAGACCCCTCCGCCTCGAGAACGCGGGGTTCGCAGCAGAGCGGGCGCCCCGGTGCTGCACAGACCCGGGCCGGGGACAGGCAGGTCTGTCGGACACCGTCGCCTTGTGAGCCGCTGGGGAGCAGCAGCGAACGCACAGACTGTAGGCGAGCCAACGACGGCGCTGACCCCGGGGGGAACGCGCGGCCGCAGGGGGAGTGCGACCCCGGGCTCCCGGCCCCTGCGACCACCCGCCCGGGCGAGGCGCTAGAGAAACGCCCCCAGCCCGGCGATCGGAGCCCCCCCGGCCCTCCGCAGGCCGGCCCGACGGCGGGGAAGCCCGGCCAGAGAGCCGGCAGTGGCCGCGCCCAGCACAAAGCTCCCCGGGAAGCGAAGCCGTACAAGTGTGAGACGTGCGGGAAGGGCTACGCCCAGCCGTCGAAGCTTCGCGTCCACCACAGGGTCCACACCGGGGAGAAGCCGTACAGGTGCGAGGAGTGCGGCAAGGACTTCCGCTACGTGTCCAACATCAACCGGCACCTGCTGATACACGCGCGCGAGAAGCTGTCGAAAGGGCTGAAGCGCGGCGGGGGCCGCGACTGGAGGGCCGCCCTCCACCAGCGCGTCCTCGCCGAGATGAAGCCCTACAAGTGCAAGCAGTGCGAGCAGAGCTTCAGCCGGCCCGCCGACTACCGGGCGCACCAGCGAGGCCACGCGGCGGGCAAGCTGCACACGTGCCCCATCTGCGGGAAGGGCTTCAGCCGCCCCTTCGGGCTGCACTCGCACCAGCGGGTGCACACCGGGGAGAAGCCGTACCGCTGCGACGTGTGCGGCAGGACCTTCCGCTACAGCTCGCAGTTCACCTACCACCAGAGGGGCCACACCGGGGAGAAGCCGTACCGCTGCGACGTGTGCGGCAAGGCCTTCGGCAGGAGCATGGACCTGCGCCACCACCGCAGGATGCACACCGGGGAGAAGCCGCACCGCTGCCAGGAGTGCGGGAAGGCCTTCAGCCTGCCGTCCAACCTCCGCGTGCACCAGAGCGTGCACGCCAAGGAGAAGCTCTTCCGGTGCGAGGAGTGCGGCAAGCGCTTCAGCCAGCGCTCGCGCCTGCAGGCGCACCAGAGGATCCACACCGGGGAGAAGCCGTACCGCTGCCAGCGCTGCGGGAAGGGCTTCAGCCGCTCCTCCGCCCTGCACTACCACCACAGGATCCACGCCGGGAAGAGGCCGTTCCGCTGCGACGTGTGCGGCAAGGGCTTTGTCTACAGCTCTCAGTTCGCCTACCACCAGCGATGCCACGCGGGGGACAGGCTGCACAGGTGCCACGACTGCGGCAAGTTCTTCGACAGCAGCGCGGAGCTGCACGAGCACCAGGGCGTGCACGCGGCCGAGAAGCCTCACAAGTGCGGGCAGTGCGGGAAGGCCTTCCACTTCCCCTCAAAGCTGCGGCTCCACCTCACCGTCCACGCCAGGGAGCAGCTCTTCAAGTGTGACATCTGCGGCAAGGGCTTCCGGCTGAGCTCCCAACTTCTGTTACACGAGAGACTCCACACCGGAGAGAAACCGCACACATGCGACGTCTGTGGCAAAGGCTTCGATTACCAGTCCCGCCTGGAAACCCATAAGAAAATCCACACCCACAGGAAGCACCGGAGTGGGCGTGGTGGTACATGACCGAGAACCCGGCGGAGGCCGGAAGAGGGTAGGTTTGTGGCCAGCCTGGGCTCCCAAGCATACTTTGTTTTGTAGGATTGTCCCTCTTCAAGTTTTCCCAGAGTCCATCCCAGAGCTCGTCCCTGTAAAACCATTACAAGAAGGAACAGGCTTCTACAGACTCGAGGTCTAACACTCCTTGAAGCGGTAATGTAGCAGAGGAACACCTAGGACTCATTTTAGAGGAAGAAATTCGGGCGGTGACTCTCTTGACAAGACTGAATATCAGCAATTATCTTCAGTGGGCTACGTGCCAGAAGAAAAGATACTTGCCAAATGCTGACTTAGCTCTCTGTACTTAACAGTGGGCATTATTTTTACTAAAGCCTAAAGGTGTGGAAAATAAAACTGCCGACTAAAAATTTCCTGTAGCCACGGACTTACCCTGTGGGGTTTTTTTTTTCCATGCAGTGAAATAGGGCTGTACCCACAATGCATCTCTGATCATCAAAGGTAAATTGGTATCGGCTATGACTGTTTGTAGGGAGATGGTCATTGTATTGTTGTTTTGGAGCTGGTTTTATGGTTTGCAGTCCAGTGTGTTTTGGTTTTTTTTGTTTTTTTTTTTTTCAGAGACAGGGTTTCTCTGTATCGTTTTTGGAGGCTGTCCTGGAACTCGTTCTGTAGACCAGGCTGGCCTCGAACTCACAGAGATCCGCCTGCCTCTGCCTCCCGAGTGCTAGGATTAAAAGCGTGCGCCACCACCGCCCGGCCTGCAGTCCAGTGTTCTCCTGCAAGCATCAAGAGAGAAGCAGCAGCATTAGCTATGACCGCTGAGAGTTGCTCAAAATATATTAACCTGGAAAACGCTAAAACGTGAAAGTTAGATGTGTGTTTTTAAAGAAAAAAAATGGGGCTGGAAAAGATGGTTCAGTGAGTAAAAGAGCTCGCTGAACAAACATGGGAATCTGAGTTCGAATCCCTGATACCCATGTAAAAAGCTGGGTATGACCGTGTAGGTCTATAACCCAAGTGTTGTGGGGAGTGGAGACAGGAGGATTGTTGTCTCTAGGCAGCAGGGGCAGAGTGACAGACAGAAGAAGACACCTAAGTCATCCTCCAGCCTCCAAAGACGTGCACGTGGGCATACATCCCTGCTCATGTATGTAAAGCGCAACATATGCCCCACACACACACTCCAGATGTGGGGCTGGAGAGACGCTCACACACGTGCACATGCACGCATGCACACACACAGGCACACACACACACAGGCACACACACACCAGATGTGGAGCTGGAGAGACGCTCACACGCGCACACACACACACACACACAGAGGCATACACACACACAGGCACACACACACCAGATGTGGAGCTGGAGAGACGCTCTCACACACACGTACATGCATACACACACACACGCACACACAGGTGCATGCTTCATTTAAAGATAAATAAGTTTTAGAAGATACAGATGTGAAGGCTTAGTTACCTCTAGTGAGATTTTAATCCTAAATGTCCACTAAACTTTTTAGAAACCTAGAATTTTTAGAATTTATATGCAATTTTATGCCCTTAACCCAGATACAACAGTTGTTAAATTATTGGGTCTCACTCTCTCCAAATACTTGAATTTGTGCACACTCAACACACTGATGCCTACGCACACAGCTTTTCCGATATCTTACCTCTTCTATCAAATACCTAAGTGTGTTTCCCTTGAGCAGCTGTAATACAGTATCCAACCAAGTCTGGTGTCGATGCACAGCACTACACAACCCAACAGCTTATTTAAATGTCACCAGTTGTCCCCGCTGGTACAGTGGAGTGTGTCCCGATTTTAATCGAGTGTCTCACTGGGCACCCTTGTTCTGAACCTCCCTGTGGCATCGGGTGCAGAAAGAAGACAGAGAGGCACTCTAGGGGTGATTCTTAGCCTCTCCCGCTCTAAGTGTGATTCTTAGCCTCTCCTGCCACGGGGGATCAGCCTACGGCTGACTCACTCCCTGCCGCCTCAGTGATTGCGGTGTGCTATTTCATGGTGTGCTACTTTTGTTTGTACTGCGGAACATTTGTTTAACTCTGTGGAACATTTGTATTAAAGGTGTATTGTTTTTACTCGTGCTGCATTTGTTTAACTCTGTGGAGCTGTGATTCCCTGTGTAAAACACCTGATGGCCTGACGAAGAGCTGAACGGCCATAGCGAGGCAGGAAAAGGACAGGCGGGACCAGTGGGCAGCGAGAATAAACAGACAGAGAAATCGGGGGAGGAGAAGGGGGGGCAAGAGAGAACAAAGAGAGGAGGACAGCGGAGCCAGCTACAGAGTAAGAGTGAGGGTAAGTGTCCAAAAATGAGAGAGGCAAAAGATAGTCGGGAGAACTGAAGAAAAGCTGGCAAGAATCTAGCCCAGCTAAGGCTGGGCATTCGTAAGTAAGACTAAGCCTCCACCTGTGTGATTTATTTAGGAGCTTGGGGGCGGGGGACGGGGTGGTGGGGAGGGGGCGGGGGGGCTAAAGAGTAATAGAAACCAACAATATTTTGGCGTTCTAATATGGGGCTAGAATCAAAATCAAACAATTTGCTAAGGGCCTTTTTATTGTTATAAAGTTCACACCTTTAGCAAGTCAATTTCCGTATACCAAAAGCTCCTATCTAAACTCCCCAAAGAAACAATGTTAGCGCAGATTTTCAGTTAAGAGACACAGAACCAAGTTTTGTGTAGGCGTTGAACTTTTAGGAACCGCTCAGATAGGACTTAGACACTTCAACCAGGAGGTGCCGGAGACAGAAGCAGTCACAAAAGGAAGATCAAAGCCAGAAGCAAGCCAGCTGCAGAGGTGTACAGAATCTCCCCTAACATATCCCCCCTTCGTATATGTTATGACTAACTGGGCTGAAAATTACACAGCCTTACAGCAGATACGGCCTTCTCTCTATTTTTCAATCTGAAGTAAGTAAGCCAAAACACAGTTTAAAGTCAGTAAGGTTGCTACTATTGCTGGAACAAGAGTAACACTTGCTAAAACAAGAAATCTACTAAAGTGATTCCCAAGATTGAATGAGGCTGTGGTATCTGCAAGGCTTCCCATAATATCCGTTCCTGACATATCAGGTAACTTTTTTTGTGAAAGTTTCCTTAATCTCTTGTTGTAAATGAAAAGTCATTTGGGAAGAATTAGGGTGACCCCCTCAAATGCATCTTAGTCATACTTGTATTCCTAAACTATAAAGATGTAATACAATAGGATGTGACACATTTTACTTTTACCTACTCCTTTAGTATTTCTTGTCGGGGTCAGCCAACCTGAATAGGAGAGTGAGGATTAGAAAGAGAAAAGGCGGAAGATAGAATTGGGAGGGCTCTCGGTGAATACTGCAGCAGCCCTGAATTTATTTCCCACAGCCCTTTTATACCCAAAGCAAAAGAGGGAGGGCAAAAGACATCCTTACCATAGTTCAAGGAACAAACAGGCGTAATTAACCTCCTAATTCTCAAACCATGCAGTAACCACGCCTCTGCCCAAACATCCTGTTATTTGGCCTTGAGCAGTAACAAGCTTGAACTCTCTCAAGTCAAGATGGAATGGAGTCACTGTGGGCCCCCACAGTTTCTGATTGATCCCCTAATGGTATAACGGCTTGTCTCAAATCAGCTATTCAATTAACTGTCTCATTATCTATATTGTTGAGCTCAGAGTTGTGCAGGATGCTTATGCCAGTCTCTAACAAACTCAGCAGTTTGAGTTTCCTCATGAAGTTTCCACTCTGGCTCTTGCAGCGGCAGCAGATAGTGCAATAATCGGTTCAACCATCCAGTATGCTCCTCTTAATACTGTTTCAGTGAACTTCTGCCCCGGGATCACCACAGGAGAGTCTGGCATGGCCTCGACAGCTTCACCGGTATCTGTGGTGCTGGCCTTGCTCAAGGATGGATGAATGTTCAGAGGTTAAGTTTCAAGACATACTAGAAGGACACAGCGTTCATGAGTGATGCGGTAATTTTTAGGGTGCCATGGCACAGGCCCCTTCAGTAAGATAATGGTACCCACGCTCCAAAAGGATGGCTTTGAGTTAGTCTGAAAGGCAAAGTATACTGATCATCCTTGATGTTTATCCTTCTTTCCCACTCCTGAAGAGGGTGGAGGGCACGTGCCAATTTTCACAAGTTAGTCTGAATTGAATTTACAAATTGCAGGAGAGGACTTGACATTCCAGCTCATGCTGTTGAGTAGGTTCATCAACAGTAAAACGGATCTCTAAAGTTCCGTCCAAACCATGCCGCTGCCATCTTAACTCTGAGTGAGAATATTTTTCTTGAGGGAAGCCATGACGTCATCCAGGCTATGCCGTCTCCTGGGAGATATTAAATAGCACTCTAGGTTTCTCAGCGTCACACGATCGCCAATGTACCCCGTCAGACTGCTTGTTGGTGACCAACATCTCATAAGATGGTAGATCTGTGGAACCAGTAGCATTAATCTCCTGTCCCTTAAAACCAGCTGCACGAAGCATATAAATCTTACTACTAATAATCTTGGGTAGTAGTAACTACAGATGGCCATACTTGAAAGGTTATATTTAGGCTTCAAATTCCATTTTCCATACAAATAGGAATTCCTTGTACTCCCACAGTATAAATTTTAATCTCTTTACCCTCCTCCAATGGCTGAGTAGGACCTCAGTTGTAAGTGGGGTTCTTAATTGATCTAAATAATAAAAACCTGGAGTCAGATACGGAGGAAAATGTTGAGAGATCACGAGAAGCAGCAGCAAGCCAAAGCCACCCTTACCGCATCAGCTTCCTAGTGGAAAAGAGAGCGAGTTCCTGTTTATTCCCGGTTATAGCCTCTCTCTGGCCAGCCATCTCACTTCCTATCTGCACAGACCTCCAGACCTCTATGGTTAGCTAATGGCATGCTCTATCCTCTGATCTTCAGACAAGCTTTATTTGTACGAGGAAGGTATCACCACAGTCGGCTGTCATAAGGACCAGGAAGCCAAGAAGGTTCACTAACCACCACAGGAATACCCACATCTCCCCACCCTACTGCTAGGTTAATTGGAGGACTGGAGATAAAATCCCAATATGTGTGGTTGGCTTCTGTTACCTGTAGAGCTACCACAGATAGCACAGCAAGGAACGTATTTGTAGCATTTAGAGGTTTCTGAGTCACTGGAACGATCACCTCCCCTTTGTCGCACAAATTCTTAATCTGTCCCAGGCGGGAGGACCAGCTGTCTGCTCCAAAGGCTGTCTGTATCTTTTCTTTCCCAGAGGCCCGTCTCCCATCTCAGTAGACAAGCATCCGAGAGACTCCTCTTGCTCACACCAGAGTCTTGGTTCTGATTTTGATTCTTTATCAACTTCGACGGGACCCGTAACTTCTCCTGTATAAGCATAAGCATACCTTCAGCCCATCTTTCCCCATTTTCCGTACTGATGCCAAGGCTTTCTTGTAGCACATTGGCTGACTTAACTCGGCAGTTCTTTCTATGGTCCAATGCCTTTCGGCAGCTGTTGGCCCTGTTTTGTTAACATTTAAATTTAAGGTTAGTAAAGCATCCCGCAGTCTCTCCCGGGGGTCCTCGTATTCCCCCTTCTGTTTAACAAGCAGCTTTAGAGTGCGATTAGCTCTCTCAACAATTGCTTGTCCTAGTAGGATTGTTTGATATCTCTGTAATGTGTTTTATGTTGTAACATGCAAAAAAAAATGGTTTCATGTCACTGGAAACATAAGTTTGGGCTTTATCAGTCTTAATTTGTGCTAGTATGCCCATTACAGCCATTGTTTCTAGTAAATATGTAATTATAGAATCTGCCCTTTCAGAACTTAAGGCAGATGCCCACTGGAACCCAGAATAAGTGTCAATGGTATGATGAATATATTTTAGTTTTACAAGTTTTGTTAAATGAAATACATCAATTTGCCAAATTTTATTTCTTTGTGTACCTTTAGGTAAAGGAACTTGATTATACAAATAACAAGATTTTTAAATAATTTTCTTAGCTTGTCAAGTAATGAAAAATTTTTTTCTTGAGTCCCTACTATTAATATGCTGTTTCGTATGAAACTCTAAAGCTTCCAACACATTTCCTATCAGTAATTGATCAATTTTTTCATTTCCTTTTGCTAATGGCCCAGGCAACCCAATTTGGGGCTAAATATGAATGCTGTATAGTGGCTAACTTCTGTACCAGATTGCTTATTGCAGTTGTATAAGTAATAAAGTTAATTCTGAATTATCAGGAATATGTTCAGCAGGGTTTTTTGGGTTTTGGCTTTGTTTTCTTGTTTGTTTGGTTGGTTGATTTTTTGAGATAGGGTTTCTCTATGTAGCTTTAGAGGCTGTCCTGGAACTCACTCTGTAGACCAGGCTGGCCTTGAACTCACAGAGATCTGCCTGCCTCCTGAGTGCTGGGATTAAAGGTGAGCACCACCAACACCAAGCTAGTTCAGCAGCATCTATCTGCAATTCAACCCTTTGTGCATATTGAGAATCAGTAATTAAGAGATTCATTAAAGTCTAATAAAACCATCAGAATGGCATGTAACTCTGATTTTTGAACGGAACCATATGGACTTTGGATTACTCTATTGATGTTTCCTGCTTTGTGACCAGCCATTTTTAATTTATTTGCACCAGTGTAAAATGTGAAAGCCCCCAAATGCATGCTATTTTCATTATGCAGGGAAGAATTCACTCAGTTCTTTTTATAAGCTGAATCTGTTTACTTTTTGGATATCTGTTGTTAATTTCTCCTAAGAAATTACTACAAGCTCCTTGTCAATCATCATCAATCGCCCACAATTGCACAATTTCAGCATTAGTATAGGGTGCCACAACCTCAGCTGGATCTATAAGTGACAACTGGTCACGTCTTATTCTTCCCTTTATAATTAATTCAAAAATCTTTTTTACGTAGGCTCTTAACTTTCTATTCTGTTTGTGAGCTAGGAAAATCCATTCTAAAATATTATCCTCCCTCTGCATAATGAATTACTAAAATACATTCAGTTGTGAGATCTAATTATTTCATGTAATTTTTTTGGAGGGGGGTTTCCGAGACAGGGTTTCTCTGTGGCTTTGGAGGCTGTCCTGGAACTCGCTCTGTAGACCAGGCTGGCCTCGAACTCACAGAGATCCGCCTGCCTCTGCCTCCCGAGTGCTAGGATTAAAGGCGTGTACTACCAACACCCGGCTTGTTGTATGTAATTTGAGCTCCCCATTGTTGTAACAAATCTCCCTTCCCCATACATTTGTGGGTATAGAAGCCACATAAGTCTTTAATATCCCTATTTGTCCTTTAGGCCCTATGCATTTAATCTGTTCCACA